AAATTATAAAAATAAATCATGCATATTATGTATCTTGAATATGTTTTGACTGCTAGTATAACAACTTATGAGTATAAGTACTTTATATTACATTTTAAAGCTTTGTTACAAAACAAAAAAACGGATATTGACAATTGTAATCTGCGTCTTGGTTCTATTTCTATAATTTTAGTGGTCATTGCTTAATTAATATAGTCAGACTACCAGTATTAGTAGAAGAGGTTTCTATAGACAAATTCCATACATTTTAATTGATTGTGAAATAAAAATTATTTATATATTCTTCTATGATATAATTTAAAGATAAATAATATTATTTTATCATGGAGTGGACCTCAAATAGTGAACACATGTATTTCATTACATTGGCATTTAGTTTTGAAGGTGTTTTGTATAGGCGACTTACCAGACCCATTCAATATTTTAGTTATTTCCTATTTTTATCGCAAACTATTGCATATGTAGAAAAATACTTATTCCTAATTGCCTAACTAACCAAATTCTATAATTTTTTAAGAATTTTTGTCTAAAAACTGAATTTTTTTAATTTTTATTATTACGTTTCCCAAAAATGTAACACCAAAACTAACTCCTGTGTTTCCCAACTTGTAATACGTGGAAAACTCAAAAATGGCATGCCGCATGCAAATACATTAAATATAAATTGACCTATGTAAGGGCCATCATTACATTACCATCTAAATAGCTGTTTTTAAATCGACTGAGCCATACAATGTGGTATTTCGAAAATACCTCAGTGTGGCGGTAATGTGATAATGATGATAATCTCTGTATTCCTATAATAAAATAATATTTAATGTTATGTTATTTTAACGTTGAGTCGTTGTCTGTTAATTAATTAATGTTCCTATGTCGTTATGTAGTTTAAATGAATTATAAAAATTATAAAAAAAGCTTTATGTATGTAAAATACTGTCATTTTATTCGTTGATAACTGATAAGTAAAAAAAGGAAGTTTAAGTTGAGTGGTACATGAAAAGTTTTCAAAATATGTAAGTGGTATGCAGGTATAAAAAAGTTAAGAACCCCAATTTTTGAGTATTAAGCTCTTAGAAAAATTGGGTTTAAGAAAAATAAATATTTAGAAATATTTATTTGATTTACTTCCTGGCACTTAGATGTAAGCTGCCCTGGCTGCCTGTTGGACCCTTTCTTACTCTTCCTTGATATTCAGAATCTCCTCTATAGTTTTATAGAAGATCCTGAAAGTCTCTGCAGGCTCCTGTAGAATTTTGCCCTGATGTATGTTTATTTTTTTAATTAAATTACCTATTTAATTATCTAATTTTTAATTTTCATTACACATTCTTTCTACACTAATTGGATACTTGGAGATTTCTTATAGTTTTAGTTCCTTGAAAAATTATTCAGAGTTTAAAATTAAGTACATTCTTTAATACCATGTTTTTTTATTTAATAATTAAAAAAAATGTATTATGTATTAATAAATCAAAAGGTTGTATTTATATCTGTTTTTTGTATTCTTTTGGTTTCTACAACTTAATATTCTATTCATAAGCATCTAATAATTTAATTCTCTATACCTACATAGAAAAGCTATTGGTTATTTTCCATGTCCAATAATATTTATAATTTTTATTATTTGATACCATATTACTGGTTATTTATATAGATATTAAAAAAAAAAAATAACTTAACTTAAGTTAATAAGTTCATGGACAATTTTTATGTAACTTTTGACATAACTGAGTTTAAAAAAAAATAGGTTAACTGTTAACTTTAAACTTTTCAAAATGTTTTCTATCGACTTAACTCAGTTAAAAATTATCATTAATTTGGTCAGGCTTGCTTATTTGTATACATTTTAAATAATTGTATGCTGTATGCACAGTATAATTTATACAACTATTTGGTATAATTTTCTATAGCCTATTTAACTCGTAACTACTGTATGATTTATAATTTTATATTACTATGTAAGGTTAAAAAGTTACTGAATTGTGTAGATGAAAACCATTCCAATAATAGCATTGATTATAAATAATACAATATTATACAATATACATAATATTATAGGTAGGTATATATTTTAGTAAAGTTTATCTAATGTGTTGTTTTTTGTTTTATTATCAATACAATCATGTGATTTTACCTATGCAATATAAAATAAAATGAAGATACCAAACACACGTTGTATTACTACAATAAATTTATAGTTGCAAAGAGTTCAGATTATTAAGGTTGTGCAACAATGCATCTGCGTATAACAGGATCACAAGAAATTATTATTTTTATTCGTAGATTACATTTTACAAAATAAATTCAAAATTAAAATGTGAATATTATCTTCTTTAATTATTGATACATAATTAAGAATGATACGTCAAAATACATTAAAAAATAAATCTTATATAAATCATATTTCAAAAATATAGGTTTCAAAAAAATTATTATTACCAAATTAGTTAAGATTATATGGTTCAAAGATGTTTTCACATAGGTCATTTTTCCTAATTTAAGTATATTATGTTGAAATCTACTGTCACATGAAATTTGGAACACTCATGTATAAATCAAACTTCTTTTGTTTAATTTTGTCCTGATTGTAGTCCAGATACTGAGGACAAAATTGAAAACAACTATTTAATTTATATGGAAAGGTACTTTATTATATTAATCATTTGTTTTATTATTATAATTTTTAAATTTTTATTTACTCAAAGACATTTGAAAACTAAACAATTATATTTTTGTTACCAATAACTATTAACTGGCAACTTTTACAGTAATATTTTATGAAGACTTTATGACTTACAATTGGGTAAATGACTTGAGCTCATTGAACTTTTCTCTTGGTTTATAACTTATTTTGGAAGTATATTTTTGAATGATATTCAAAAATTACATTATGATATTATAATATTATCATATTATGATTAAAATGATTAAATGTTTTAGTCTCTTAAAAAACTTAGTTAAATACTCTTAACTTGAAAAAATCAATATGGAATTGTAACACAATGTAAATAATTGGGATATCAAAAATCAATTCCCACAAAAACTTCAAATCTTTTTACAGAGTTAAAATCTGATCAAGATAATAGTCTATATTTGTTTGACTTTTAGGAATTAGGACTAAATCATGAATGAAATGTGATGCTTCTAACCACCTTAACATAATAACCTAAGGTGTAACAATATTAATAAAACAGTTGACTATTAACACATCAATACATAAACAAGTAACATCAATAATATTCACTTTACGATACAAACAACACTAGATAATCCATATTATGTTTATTATAATGAAATAATTTTCATAATATATACAATTTCATAATTAAAAAAAAAAAATACATATACTTTTACATTAATATTTTATATTATGATCTCATTAATTTGTACTGAATTGAAGGTTATTATTATAAGTATTTTTAAAAAGTTCTTACTACACATAATATATTTCAATAGTCAACAAGTCGTTAAAATTAAAATATAATATATTGGTAGTATGATATAGTTATTTCATAATTGTACAGACATATAACATTAAACATAATATAACAAACAATGATAATGGTTACGCCACTCAAAAATCAATCAAACATTTTTTAATAATGTAAATTATTTACAATTTAGGACAACCTCATAAAATATAACGTACCTATGAAACAACAAATCATGATGATAATTCTCAACAGTATTTGAGTATAATTCATATTCCTAACTCTCAATTCACAAAAATCATTTTAATGAAAATTCATTAACAAAAAGACATTAAAAAAAAAACATGAAAATTATAAAACCTCAACACAAATCAAATTAGAATACTAAAAAAACTTAAAATCAATAATAATCATTTTAGATAAAATAAAATAAAATAATAATCATGACAGGTATTTTAATTATTTTTAATATTCATATATAATGTTAGCATATATCATACAACTGTAATTGGTGTTGGAACAAATCATGCTTTCTGCTTAGGTTTATCATAAATATTTTTAAACGTTGCAAAAAAGGCTTGGAACCTGAGTTTATCCTAAACTAGTAACAAAAAAATGTAAACTAGTTTAAAATTAAATTAAATTTTTGTTGATTTAAGAATATTTTAACTATAATGATAACTGAACATATCTATATGAATTGTAAAAACATTGTAAAAATACCAAGTGCATTGATACAATTATACTAATAAATAAAAAAATAAAAAAAAATAGTTTACTTATAATTTAACAAATAATCTAAAATAACTAGAACATTGATAGGTATAAATTGTACCTCAGATCAAAATTTGAATTCATGTGATTTATGTAGCTAAAACTAAAGTTTTCTAAAAAATAAATAAACTTAATACTAAAAAAAAAATTCCCAATAATAATAAATATTTTTATGATTTTTCACTCCAGAAACTATTTTACTATTAAATCAATATATTTTAAATTAGGATTTTAATAAAAATAAGTATACCTAACAGTCTTAAACACTAAAATAATTTTGAAAAAAAAAATACAAACGTAATACAAAGTATTAATAGTCGTATTTGAATACGATCATCCTAATATGTAGTATTTAGAGATGACAATAAAGTTGAATTTTAACTAATACCACTACACAGAAAACATAATTTGGATTCCAACCACCTAATAACTTTGCCTTACTTATCATTTTAATTTATTACATATTTGTACTACACCATGCATGATGTATTATTTTCTAAAAAAGTTGTATAAAATTAAAATTATTAAAACTAGGTTTACATACCAACAATAAGACGTTACAGTTATGAACTAAATTAACAATATACTCATTAATTATATTGAATAAGATAGTATATCAAATATATTTAAAAATAATCCAATCTACATTTTTGTAAAAATGGATCCTACTGAATCTTAAAGGTTTGTTGTTGCCCAAACACTAGTATATTAAATGTATTACTCTCCCACTTAACATTGTTATATCAATAATAAATATCAACATTTTGGATTAAAGACAGCTAATGTAAGGTGGTACGGTTATACATTTTATAGGACTCGGTGGTGAAGCAATAACAAACAAGTATTATCTTAAATAACTACTAATGTAAGATGTAATTTAAAGATTTTTTTTTGTCAATCATTTTTGAACATATGCAAATATACAGGGGCATGGTACAATGCAAAATATTTTTTAATAGGTTTTTTTATTCATGTATTTATTTTCCACAAATATTATTAATAAATATATATATATTGTAGCAATAATTATAAAAAAATTAAAATTCATATTTTAATGTCTATAAATTCCCTATTAAAATATTCTGTCCGCACCAATGTAAAATAATATGAAATTTAATATGTTATGAATGGATTAATAACCACGTATGATTGTTTTATATCATAGAGCTCACATTTCTGCAGTAGCCATTCAGGCATAGCCTCTTTTTCCAAAGTATTTTTATTAGACTTTTTATTTTCAAAAATATTCACTTCATTCAAGAATTGTTTGGAAGTACCTTCTCCAAATTCGTTATTTTTCAAAATGTTGGTTCTATCCAACTTTTCAAGTTCCAAAGTGTCAATACTATCGGAAACTTTGTTTTCTAATAAATATGTAGAATTGGACTCATAATTTGGATTACTATCTGCATTAGTCTCGGCTTCATCATCAGACTCAATGATTTTGAGTTTTTTAGAATTTTTACTGGACCTCTTTACATATGACGATTTCTGTTTACTATTAGGCTTGGATTTTGCATCCTGTGTCTTTTTAGGACTACTACTAGCAATTTTTAATTTAGGCTCAAGTAACTTTCTCTTTCTACCGGAAGATTTATTGTCAATTTCACCCTTTTGTACTTTAGATTTTGCCTTCTTATCCGGATATTCTTTTTTCATGTGTAGTTCATTAGTAGTATCTTTAGAACGTTTTGATGATACGTTATTAGTAATAATAACATCAGGACTGAATAAACTTTTACGGTCTTTTTCATATAGTTTTTTATAGTCCGAAGTTTTCATTACTGAACTCAATGGAGGGGATGATTTATTTTTTATATTGTCAACATCTTTTTCATTAGAGTTGCTGGTAGAAGCAACATGAGAAGTTTTTGTGGGAAAATTTTTTTTACAAAAATTCACAATAAAATTTTTTACTTCGTCACGTGCCATATATTCCGTTATTTCTGGAAATGGTTCAAATACAGCTGGTTTACGAATAATAGAATTGATGGCATCCGCTGGGTTAATATTTTTTTTAGTTTTTAATACCCCAAAAACAGAAATTAAAGCGCCAATATTAGCCAATTTAATTTTTTCCTCTTCTTTAAGTTTATAATGTGGAGATGTAGTGTTCAGAAAATTTTCTTCAAATGGTATTTTTTTACTCACTTTCTCTACAGGTTTATACACACGGGTTTTATTTTTCGTGGTTTTAGTTTTATTTTTAGAACGATTTTGGTAACTGCAACTTGGCAACCATTTTTCTTCTTCTTCTTCTTCTTCTTCTTCTTCTTCTGTTTCCACTTTAGGTATACTTCCGTGTAATTTTGGACTTTTCTTCTCCCTGATATTTGTCTTTTTAGAACTTTTGAATTGCATTTTTTCATTTGGATCATTGTTTGGTTGTATTTCATTTACTGTTAAACTTTTTTGAACTTCCAATTTATCGTGTTCAATATTAACCAAGGTTTCTAAAAGTTTTAAACTATTATTAATTTTCAATTCTTCTTCCAGCTTAGATGGATCAGTATGTTCGTCTCCATTTTGTTCTATCAAACACTTAGTTGTTTGAATTTCATTAGTGGTATACGCATTGCTAGTATTAATATCTTCATCAGCTTCAAAATCATCAACAAAATTAAAATTTGTTTGTTCTATTTTCGAAGCTATAGATAATATAGCTTCTGTAGTTTTTTCATCATCGTCGATCATTGCTGATGAATGAGCAGAATCCACATCATCATTATTGTGCATGTTACTAAACACTGGTATATCATTTGCAGGTTCTACCGACAAGTTGTCTATTTGTAATGTTGATCTGTAGTTAAGAAATGATGTGGTTTCCATTTTATTGATAGTGGTATTTTTAATATTTTCTCTCTCAACCATTAACATCGAATTTGAATCATTTTCAGAATTATTACTCAATAGATATGATTGAATTGCTTTATCTGAATCAGTTGTGTTATTATTTGATACTGATAAACATTGGATTTGAGTCAATTTAGAAGATCCTGGTATCAAAATATTATCATTACATGTTTTGATTGCACCATAATCTGAAACAAATTTAAAGTATAATATTCATATATAGGCAGCTAGTTAAAGACAATTTTTTTTTAATAATTATTATGACTACCTATTTTAGGGGAATGAAAACAATCTTTATTTATGCTTAAGTGAAAAGCTTTTAAGTATATGTGTACTAGTGTATTGAAGACACATAATAAATAATAATAATAATAAATATTAATAATTGTAACCCTAAAATAACAGTGGTATACATTCTACAGGTGTATCATATATTTAAGATTGATAAGTCTACCAAATACTGACTTTACTTTCATGAATACTTAGTAATAATATAAATTGGCATACAAATACCGATGGAATACTACAGTAGACTCAACTACTACAATATTCAAAAAACATTAAAAAAATTATTATTTAGAATTTAATACACCCGAGGTTATTTATTAAGCTAACCTTAATTAGGCAAGTTTAACTTACATATTTAAATTTAAGATAATTTTGCCGTGTTCCAATTAATATGAAATGTTGAAATAATTAATATCATGGATTTTTTTAAAAATAAAATCAATGGAACACTATTTATCAAAAATTGATACTATGTACTTATTTATATAGTCAAATAAACTAAAATGATTTATAACTCAGTATTTGTAAGCAAAATGTGTATTATATACATTTAAGCCACTAGGAAAATAATAATATAGTACTCACTTAAATTATGTGATAATGAAAAACAATTCAAAGCACTTTGAGTTCTTTTAATATTTTCCATTGAATTTTTAATAATAAACTGGCAAAGGTATTCATAAGCACCTCCAACTATACCTTCAATAAAATTTTGGTGTTCAAATTCAAATCGAGATCTAAAAAACAAAATGTATATAAATAACATTTACTATAAACAAGAAAAATAATTTTTTATTTATTGTACACAAAACATTGATCATAATATTATAATACATATAATTACATACATTTGATTTTTTTTATAATTCAACATTTTTAAGACCATAATATATTTCAGATAATTAGGAAATATTGACTATTCTTTTGTCATTTAATTTTAATTTTTTTTTTGGATTCATTTAGCGAATTTAATTTTGACATTGTGATGAAATGTTAGCATAGTATCTTTGTTTGAACTGTACTACAAAAAAAAAAAATTAAATATTTTACTATTGTATTTTATAAAATTGTTATATCATTTAACACTAGTATTTACTTTACCATCTGAACTGCATTCATTAACAATTATCATTCTTTATCACACTTTCTATACATCAGGGATGGCAAACCTTTTGACACTGCGTGCTCAAAATTAGTAAATTACCTTTTTTTTTTTAGAGCGTGCCATGAAAAAAATATTTAAAATATTATATTTTGTTACACTATAATTTGATTGTATGATTATTGATTAATTTATTAGTATAAAAAGGTTAGTTTAGGTTATTATAGGTCTTATAGTATTATATATTATATGATAGTAAAAATTGTTGCGTGCCCACAAAATCTTTTAGCGTGCCACCGCGGGTCCGCGTGAAATGGATTTGCCATCCCTTCTACATATCATTACTCTTTCTGAATTTGTGTAAATGACTTTATTATATTATAAACATAGACGTGTTTACAGAGGGGGCCAGGTGGGCACTGCCCCCCAACCGGGCAGACTGTACCTCCAACAAAATCAGGCCAGGATAAAAAAATGTCGCGCAGTGTGCACCCTCCACTCTGCAGTACCAATAGATTTTGATTAATTGTAATTTTTATAGTTATGTATTTATTAATTAGTGACTATATTATCATACTATAATATTATGTTCATAAATTCTTTATAACTACTTAACATGGTACTGTAACAAATAGTTTATTGCTCATAAGAAATATTAAAATTAAATTCGAAGGAGGGCCAGGAATAGATTTTGCTAGACCTAAATTTACAAATGTGCTGTCAAAAAATCGTGGATATTCTACAATGAAAAAAATCGATGGTATAATCAACAGCGAGGTAACTGAATGTGATGAAGACGAGGAACTGTCAGTTGAAGATTTATCGAGTTTTAAATATGCACCAATCGTACCTTGTGACTTGGAAAGAAGTTTTTTCAAGTACAAAAGTATGCTTCGAGATAATTGTAGGAGTTTTCAATTCGAAAACTTGAAATCTATATTTGTTAATTCATGCTGGTACTCGTCCAATAATAATAATTAATAAATAATAATTTAATATAAATAGAAAATAGTAATACTTTAATTAATTTATAACACTTTTATACTTACACAATGTAATTAATTTTTTTCATTTTTATTAATAAACAATTTTTATACAAAATATATTGTTAATTAGTAAAAAAATTAATTTTGTATGTTTTTTGCATACCTATTCATGATACAAATCTGCATATTTTATAGATTTTTAATGCACATAAATCCGGGCCCTAATGATCACTAATGAAAAAAAAATTATAAATCTAGTTTCTTTACACAGGTAATTTAAAAAAAGCCGAAGTAGCTTTACTAAATATGATATGCCATTTGAGAAATGTAAATAAAATAAAATAATATTCATAATTGCATTCAAATACAAATATGTGTATGTGTGTGTGTGTGTTTATGTATAAATTATAATGATAATATGATATTAACTGTTTATTTTTAATTTTATAAATGAGTATATTAAACAATTTATTTAATTCAAATAAATCATTATTAGAATAAGTCAGTTAAATTATTTAAATGAAGTATATTTTAATTACTGTTAAATCTCTACATTTAAATTATTTTAAGAAGTTTTTACTGTATAGTGTACCCACAAGGTTGAATAAATCCAGAAAAAAATTAATAGGTAAGTCTGCTGTAATTAGTTATTATCCAAACAAATATATTATTTAACTTACTCAGTGATTGTGCTTGTAATATCTTGTCGTACACTTTCTAATGTGCTATTAGGCTTGTTCATGCACATGTTTATTATTTCAATTACTTTCTTTTTGATATCGCCAACAAAAATCTGCAAGTTATTCGATTAGAAAATACATATTGACATAAAAACATCAAATATATTCAATGAATTTAATTACATCTTCCTGTTGCACTATCCTGTTGTATATAAGCCCATACCACTTATCGGCAGTCATATTCTCCATGTCGAGTAGCGCAGGGTCGAACGGCGGTGCAGGCGGATGGTCCATTGTTCTCTATATGAACATAGGTCGGAGTGGCCAATCTACAAACCACGTTCCCGAAGCATGGAATATTAATATCTCAAGCTCGACAACACCAGTGATTGATTATCACCGATACCCACAGATCGATTGCTAGCAGAGAATTCTTGAGTTCCGTTTCAAACAACGGGTTGAGGGAGGGGAAAAACGAGGCGGCTCACGGAAATCGGATAAAACGGGTGCCGGGAATCGTTTCTAAATCGACCTCTGAGGTTCGGACGTAAAGCGGCCACCAAAGCGCCTGCCGGGAATCGGATCTGAAGCGATCGGACGGGATTTGGACGTAAAGGGGAATCGGACAAAACGCGGATTACGGGGACCGAACGAATCGCACTGGTTCGGTCGGACACGAGTGGCCAGCGAGTAGTAAGGGCGTACTTACCGGAATACAAGATGTCTGGGACACTTGATGAGAACGCGTACTTCGTCGGTGTGTTGTGCACTTGTGCTGTTCGGCTGCTGCTGCGGCGTCGGTGGCGGCGGCGGCGGCGGCGATGGCGGTCGGGCGGCGGCGACGGCGGCGGCGGCGATGGCGGCGGCGGCGATGGCGGTCGGGCGGCCCGTGTCACAGAGTTGAGTCGTTAATCGTTATCCACGTACGTCCGGGCCGTTATCACCCGACGACAGTTGTGCAAAATAAATTATAATAATATTGTGTTTGCTAGTCGTATCGGTATCACGATAATATCGCGATAACTTGGCGGCAGGACACGGACGGTGGACCGGTCGATCAAACTATACTTTTGACGTGGGCGAATGGACGATAGACATGGCAGCTGCACGTAAAGAGTATATTGTTTAATCGGGAAAGATAATAATGATAATATTATACTTACGCAGATAACCAGTTAATCCGTTGTATTAACGTGGATTATGGAGAGATAGAGAATACGAGGGAGCGTAGTGTGTTGTGTGCACGACGTAGGTGTATGCCTATAGACCGAATTAAAAACTAAATGTCAAACGGATGTTTTTTATTGTTTTTACACTTTGTGTTGTAAACCTATAATTTATTGACGAGAAGTAATTTAATTTTTTTTATAGTCTGAGCAAACAGTTGTACAACGTTATTAGTCCGTAAAAATAATTGCAATAAGAACAAATGCGAGTCTTCCCATTATTTTCATGTAATTATTATTATTATTATTGCTGCTACTTTACCATCACCGTCGTCGTCTTCGTCGATATAAAACAAAATTGTAGCGACACTGCTTAATCAGCTGATCGGTTTGCTTACACTTTTTGTGAGGCTACGCCTTTTCGTCAAGTTATCATTACATACATGATGTATTGCATATTGATTTTCTATCCGTATTCCGTATTGCGTATTAAATCCACAATGCACCAGTGTGAGAGTGTGACAGTGTAGTGTACCACACAATATTTAAAAAAAAATAACACGATGTATAGCCCTATATAGATCTATTAGATCTGGATTATTCGGGAAATAGGATAATATGAGAATTACAGTGTGGATGTGCGTGTATAAGAAATTAAAAGTAGAATTCTACTAGTACACACATCTATAAAAACATTAAATATGTGCTCAACAAGAAAATGTGTGGGTATAAACAAAAAACACTTTTAATAAAATACATGCTGTAAGCAGGTTGGCCCGTCTTCTGTATTGAGGTTTTTGTGGCTTTTGAGTCTCTCTCTTAAGTCCTGATGTATAAAATCTGTCGGTTGGCCTGTAACCCAGTCAGTCCGCTCCTGTTAGTGTTTATAACGTTCTATACATTATATATATTACAACCGTTCCTAGACGATAATTACATTTATGCACCATTTTCTAGGTACACAAATTTGACTTACAGACATAAGTGTATTGAGATGAATAGTCAGTCATTCTCCAAATCCGGACATTGCTAAACTCTATGTATGATACGTAAGCCCCGTACAGACCAAAGAAAAATTTGGTGGAAACACATGTTTCTGACATTGTTGTCGACAATGTTTCCGGGTTTCCGTCATAAGCGGTAACATCAATATTTGTCGACAAAAATGTCAGAAACATATGTTGTCGACAAATATTTATGTATGCAGACTAAGGTTTAAAGACACAATGGATAGAGTGTAAGTAATTTAACTCTGTATAAACTCTAAATTCAGAAATTATTTGTTTATTGATTTTTATGTTATAGTTAACAACTTCAATATAACGTAATTAATACTGACTTAAGTGTGTAGTTCATATTTAAAATTACTTTCATAGGTATTGGTGCTGCTAAGTTTACTGTGTACAATAGGAGAACAAATAATAGTCTATAATGATTATAAAACTATGATGATCAAATATTATGGTTGAAAATAATCCCAGAATTTGACACTTCACAAGTAAGTTAAATTATTCATCAGACTACAATGCACAAAGGTTTAGATTATCTTATATATTTCATTAATTTTAATAATTCATAAATACTAATTTTTCAATTTTTTCTTAAGAATATTGGATAAATTAATAAATTAATTCAAAGTTGATAGTTGTGAACTAGAATAAATAGAATAAATGTAGCCATACATTTTCCAAATAGATAAATACCTATTCAATTAAATTAATTGGCTGTGACGATTTTTAAATTCTCCATACCCATACAAAAAGACTTTATTTGAATTTTTCGTAACATTTATATTTAGGAAAATAAAAGGCATTTATATATATATATATATTCCCAGTCTTAACTAATAATTAGAATTTTTTTTTTAAATTAAATAAACAATCTATGCTAGTGAAGAATAATAAGAAAATATGGTGACAAAATATACAGGTGAGACATGCATTGAGAAGGGAGACCAGCCATTAATAAAACCCAACATTATGATTTAGAAATCAAAAAATATTATTTTCGGTCTTCACGACTATCCTTATGTTGATAATCGAATGACGGCACCAATGACCAATAGAGTTTTGAATTTGGTTATGACACCAGTGACGGCACTTATACATACGATTGTGGATGATGCACAACCAGACAGATCGGTATGTCTAACAATAGGAGTGATCATAGACCAGTTAATTCAATCGCGATTGTCGGCCTGAAACAAATATGATGACTAAAGGAATAAACATTGTAATAGTAAAAAAAAAAACTAACTACTAACATATTTTAACATGTTGAATTTAATATAAACTTTATTTCAGTTCACAGGTCTGTTTCTTCATAGTGGATTTTGAATTCACTATGACCAATAAAAGTGACATATTATTAGTGTCCGGTGCCATATCAAACAGCTTAGACAAATATAAGCCAATAAAACTTGAGGGGATTCCTCTTATACTTACTAAGGATGATAAGTTGAGAAGATTCTGGCGCTGTGACTTAAACACCGTTGTGCAAACAATTAAAAGAATATTTCGATATAAGACAGAACTGATGGCATCTTTGTTGGAACAGTTATACAGAGGTGTTAACGCACGGGGAGCTTTTAACTTGTCTACGACTTATCTTCAAAAATATTTGCACATACCTGAAAGGGAACTAGTAATAGTATTTTGGAATGGATCAACGGATATGACTATAATTAAGCGTTTAAGGTTAAGGGGTACACTTAAATATTTAAACTTAACGGCATATAGTAATAAGAATAATAACGAATTTATTATAAAACTAATAAACTTAGAAAATAAGGAACAATTATATTCAGGGTACATAGGAACAATAAATAGAAATGGCAGGATGTTAAATTTACTTGAGACATATGGACTAGTGTGTAATATAGATCATAATATAACACATTGTCATGATCCAGTAGCTGATATAATTTTAACAAAATGTATTTTTAACTATGTTGTTAATGAAATTAGGCCTATTAAATTATATAGATTGTGTAGAAGGGAAAAGAGACAAAGGAAAAAAAAAAAGTATAATAATATATTTAATAAGAATGATAGTATAAGCGATAACAAATATATAAAATATATAAAAGTAATAGTAAATAGTATAAAACACACTAGTAATGCGGAAAAGGCTTCCTATTAATATACATTACGTTTATTCTAGAGAAAAGAAATTCATCGAAGAATTAAAAAATATCATAGGCACCGAAGTACATGTATATATTGATATAAGGAAGATAAATTTCAGTTGATATACATGTGTCAACATTTATTAAAAGCTAATAAAAGAATTAGTCAGCTTTTTGAGTTTAAATGACTAAATAAAATAACTAGAAATATCGAATTATTTATGAAGGATCATTGTAAGGGGGAGTGTAAAGAACTTTTGAAAATAATCGAAATGACACAAGACTCTAGATACATACTTGATTACCCTAAATGAATAAAATAAAATAAAAATAAAATTATTATTATTAAATAATACAAATGTAATAATGTTGGATATATTATTCACATAAATTGGCGAAGGATTTTATAAACATTATTTATATTAACACAAGGGAAATTAATACTTAGTATTATTATTAACATTATTATAATCATTATTGTACATCAATAAGAGAAAAATATTATTCATATTATATGCCAACGCTAACTCAATTATCTATTAGTTGAGTATAATATTATAAATGAATCAATGAATATTATTATAAAAACATAAATAAAATGTGAACTCAGGAACTAAAACCTATTTTAAATGACATAAGCCATAATAATATAAAATAAAAAATTGTAAATGAAATATGTAACAAGTTTTTAACTCGTTTTCCAGACTATGAAATTGTAAATTGTATTGAAAATATGATGTAATGTGACAATAGCAATAACAAAAAAAACAAAAATTGTAAAGATTTCTGTCTTGCAGACATAAACCCTTTTTTTGCTGGGAGGTGTTGCGGGCCTTGAAATCTCCGCATGTATAATTAAAATGTAACATGTAATATTTTAATAAAGTAGTATAGAACACATTGACCTTTCACAATGTATAAAGCATTACTGAAACCACAGTCCTTATGAAATAGCGTACGAATATATTAACCTGTCCTAACATAAAATACCGTCAGCGCAAAACAACTAATGTACTAAAACAGATTAGCATCTACTTATGTAATAAACCACTGGACAGGTACACGATTAGAAATCATGAGCACGAGCTGCTTTTCTAGGAATCACCAAACCGAAAACCACACCACATATCCCAGCTGCACGAGCAGCTACATCAAAAGAACTGCCACCACTTATAAGGCAGTCCGTGGTGCAGCCTAGGCAGATATGTATCTTTGCCACGGAGACCAGAGCAACTTCTCGTCATACACGTACACGCTATTATACACTTATTATATTTTCTGCCCAATAAACGTTATTCTTCAGTTCACTTGGTACTTATTTTATTTGTCTCAAAAGCTTACGGCTTTTGGAGCCTTTGAGATTACGCACACAACACTTAATATATTAAATCAATTATATATACACAATTTTTACATTTAAAAATATAGAATCTCTTACTTTTAAATCAGTTTAAATTAATTTCATTTTGGTTAAAATCAATGAAAGTTTATAATATCACATTAATTATACTTAAGTCATTTTGTATAGAAAATCACCATTTAAAAATCAAAAACTATATTTCAAACCAATAATGAAGTATGGTTTATTTATTTTTTGGATCTCTTTTAATTTATGAAATATACTTATTCTGGAAAACAAAATATGCTTAAATAATTTTTCATTCCGGAAAAAATCACCAAAGTCTGACTTTGTATGACTTCCTTTGACAATAAGTGAAAATCCACTGACATTTCCTGGTTTTCCATTTGTTAATTAACAATTTTATACATACAACATAAAACACATATATACACAAGTCATTTTTTTTCATTTTCTTGTTAAAATGTTAATAGTGTCGATTTTATAAAATATGTTTAATTATATTTATATGTACTATTATATGTTATAATATTTCAATTCAATTTCTAGAAACAATACTTAAACTATGCAAACATTATAGTCGAAAATTCCATATCATGTAACAAGTTCGGTCTATACTCAGACCTAGGCTCAGAATATATATATGCAGTTTGACCGAAATATATGATTAGCCACAGAAAAACTATAAGGCAGACTCAGTATGGAAGAGTTCCTTGCCTATACTGGACATTTAGCTAATAATCCAAGTAGAAAATTAATTTTCCTAAAAAATAATGATAATATTGATTATTACAAATATTATTGATTGTGTATGCTATTAAAACATAGATGAAATAATAATACATCATACACAATTCCTCTTACTCCGTATCATCCTATAAATATTGCCAGGGGTATATTGCCTTGATAAAGGTTAGATTTATATTATATATTAGTTAATAATTATTAGGCATTTAAACATATTAGATTACATTTGAGAAGTAATGTACATTCATGTATTTAGCTATCGGTAGTGGCTACTCTAAAAGTATAGTTGTTTTATGTTTAATATATTAAATATTATTTATTAATTTAATATATTAATATAAAAAAATAATAAGTAACTGGTAACATACTTAGGCACACAAATACCTGTGCACTTTATGTACCCAAATTAAATTAGTAGGTATTATTAACATTACGAGTGTTAATGAACGGTTGCTCCACGCTACACTTTAACTTATGGATAGTCACCAGTCGCCACTGTAATTTATTTCACACCAAGTATAGTTTTGAATGTTTGGCTTAAAGAGATTTAGTTTCATGTTTGATTTTATTTTCATAATTAACCAAATAATAAATTATATAAACTAGATGTTTAAAAATGTTTAATTCATAAGTAAGTATAAATTAAAATCAATTTTGTAATTTGTTTCAATAGACAAAATCAATAAGTAATAACAATGAATGAGTTTGGAACAACGAAATGTAGGTACAAGGCAGATGGCAACAAAGGAACAGGAGAATGCTCTTATTATTTTGATTGGTAACTGTACAATGACTTTTAATTTAAATATTATTTATGTTATTGTTTTTAACTAGTTGTATTATAATATTATAATCTAGATGAACTAGATTTTGTCAAAGAATGTGATATGGTATTTTTTGCCATTCCGGAAATGGAGGAACAAATTTTGGTGAGACATGGAAAACTTCCTCATATTCCACTTAATATGGATGCAGTCAAACCTAGACCAGAAGATTATCACATGAATTGTTTGGGCAATGTTAACAATTACACATGCATTCCTTGTAGACACAAAATATGGTTATGTCAAGATTATTGAGATTAATTAATTAATTAATTAAGATTATTATTATTTATTCATCGCCATTTTTACCAGTGTCATATTTGTGTTTTGTAATATGGAAACAAAAATACATAATACATGAATTAAGAAGTACAAAAATAAAGTAAAATTAACAAAATACTATTCTTAAATCTTAAATCAATTTCGAGATATATAAAAGAAAAAATCAACATAAGGCAGTTGAAAATGGACCGTTTTTAAGGGGTTGAGTATAGGCAATATGATATAAACATTGGGAATTGCTGTGTGAGTGTGTGTGTGTAGAAACTGATCATTAGTGTACGTGAGTTTGCCAAACACGTAATTATTATGTTTTATCAGTAAACAGTTCAACGATAACAACATTAATTGTATTACCGTCACAGCTCGCATTGTATTGACAATACGGGTAGGTAAATACTAAATACAACATCGTATTACAAAAAGTATAATGTACCTATAATATGGCTATATAGTTCATAACTTTATTCAAAAACATAATCATTATAAATTATAGATTGACAACAAGTAAGTACTTTCTTTAAAAAAACAATTGTTTGCATTATATTATATTGCTACATATAAATACACCTTAATTTAGTTAGAGCTTCTTTGTCGGTATACCGGATCTTATTGGTAGTCCTCTATCAAACGTCGGGTCAATGATTTCAGGCAGTAATTATTCCATGTCAAATTTTGTAACAAATGGTTCAATTTTTGATGTCCAAAATTTCTTTGGATATCTTGTCTACTATAAAACCTAAAATAAACACGTATAAAATCGAATGTATAAATTATAATATTTTAGATTCTACGTAAAAAAATTGTCACTAGCTATTATCTTTTGGAGCTCACACAACAAAATAACAGTAATTCCTTTCTGTAATGTTGGGTTGTGCTTGAACTCGATAATAATAATTATCAGTTTTTTTTTAAGTAATTTTTTCATCATCGTATATCATGAACTTTATTTTTTTTTTATGTACTGCCTCTTTTGGAGTATATTCTTTTATGCTCGGAGGACACTTTATTTCCAAGATACCGTCTTTACCTATTAACCGGTCTGGACTTGCTGCGAGATACGGTTTATTCTTATGAATAAATAATCCCGCTGGTTCGATTTTCTCCTTTATGGTTTTTTGGAACGCATTTTGGGCTATTGATTCGTTTTCAATACCATACCTTAGTAAGACACTAAAACATTTTATAAAAATAATAATATACCTAAACAATTACTATTGTAAAATAAATTAAATATAAATAGACCACAAACGTAGTTGAAGAACTTCCTTGGAAAATATCATACAAAATATATTTTATGGTATTCGCTCGCGAAGTGGTGGATCTTAATTTACAAACTTTTCTAAAATTAGATGCCGTAAGTCGTTGTTTTCTAAATTTTTCCAATCGTCATTCTCTTGTTGTCCAACGGTATTTCTTTCTATTTTTATTATTTCATCAACTTCATCTGGTCCAGCAATACACTTTTGTTTTTTCTCAAATTTTCTATTATTAAATAACATAGGTAACAGTAGATTTTTAAAATTGTATTTTAGACGTATTGGCGTACCTACTGTAGTACTGTTAATTATAGTGTGTTATGTTATGTATTATAGCAGTGCCAGTGGTCTCAAACTCAAATTACCAGCGGGCCATATATTTATACATCAAAAGTTCGGGGGCACAACATTTTTGTATAGGTACCCTTTTTTTACTTATATCAAAACGATTA